CCAAAACAGAAGATTAATTCAGACAGTTTTGCTATAAGATTGCAAATTCTAATTAGGTTTAAGATACTATCCACTTTGAAAGATAGAGCACGTCTCAAAACATATCTGTTTGACCAACCTTTCCCCTCCCCATTCCCAATGGAATGCCCATCAGCATTATGAAACGTTTGAGATGTCCTATCGATGCGAAAGGTGCTATATAAATGTAAATTGTATTGAACCTTGGCAAAGAACATTCCTTTTAGATTTAGTCAGAAAATTGGATTTTGAAATCTGACATTTTGTATTTGAAAGTTATAATTTACCTATAACTGGTTGCCATGTTATTACAGAGTACAACAAGACAATTATTTGCAGTTAAAATACTGGCTAAAATTTGGGGCATTTTTGTTGCTTAATTCACTATAAAACTTTGTCAGTTGAAACATGTTTGTTCACATAAAGCTGTATAATTGTATTCAATTAAATGCTATAATGTCTTGAGTATTCGGTTTAAATAAAGATGCATGAATAAACATTAAAAATGATTTAATTAATCATCACATTCTTTGTAATGCTTGTTTTTCTGCCTTGGTGTTCGAATGAAAGTTTAATATGACCCATCATTAGGAGAGACAACAGCAACTTTATCAAATAATGCTTGAAAACAGCAATAATCATCCTCTGCCACAGAGATAACAACAACAAATTGCATATATATGTATGCGCTGTTGGCCAGGAACACTGGGAGGAAACTCCCTTCTCTTTTTAAATAGTGCTTGGGATCGTTAATGTCCACCTGAATAGGCAGACTTTCCCAAAAGGGATAGATTCTAACCCAAAGAATATAAGAAAGAATGTGGCAAGCCTTTTAGGTCCATCAACCCCACTCATTTCATAGCCCTTACACTGTACAGTATCTCCTATTGTGGACTTTATTCCAACCATTCAATCTCTTGATGAAACATGATGCATAGATATAACCAGATTCCTAAAGATTTTAAAGCAAAACTACACAATACAGGATATATTTTGAAAGCAAACAATCCCCTTATCTGGATTTTGCAAAGTATTATGTCTAACAAAGTTGATAAATGGATTGACTTTCAAAATTCTTCTAAGACTTAACACTAAAACGTCCCCTCTACCTTGGATTGGTTGCACCTGACAATTTCATCCTGCTTAATTTCCATCATGTGGGGATAATTTATCTTATTAATAATAATAATAATAATCCTTGCATTTGATATAGCGCTTTTCACGTCGGGAGGACGTCCCAAAGCGCTTCACAGAACACACTGTAAAGTGAATTGACTGTATATTTGTGGGCGAACGCGGCAGCCAATTGCGCACAGCAATGTCCCACAAACAGTCGTAGATTGAAAATGACCAATTTTATTATTGTTTATGGTTTTGGAGGGATTATTATTGCTTGTTAAAAGGAAAGTTCACCACCTTTATAAATTATCTGTGAAATGCTGGATATCAAATTATTGCTTATAAACCAATTTCAATGAATTTCCCTGGGATGAAGTTGTTTTCTTCCAATATAATGTTTTTTAGGAACACCACTATTAACGTTCTAAGGTTTGCTAATGCAGCTGTCTCTCCAGACTGTCAGACCAACAATCCTATTTCACTAATTTGCATCATATAATACATTTCACACTTTTAACTTTCACGGTGAATTTGAAAAAAAGTGTGAAAGATTATGAAGTGTTCATTATTTTTCGGTGTTTGATATTGTGTTGAAATACAGCATTTTAAAGTGTATAGCGTTTGCAAGCTTTATTAGACGAGGTTAAAACTGTTGAAAGGTAAACAATTGCATAGGATCTCCGGGTATTTTCCATTCACACCACCAAAATTTACCGAGGCAGCAGAGAAAAAGGTGCACTTGGCCAGTAGTTGGTAAATTTAGATAATCTTGGAATCCCACAACATCCTCTTCTAATCGTTTCAAAATAATTATCTTCTTGTGAATGGCCCCCCAGGAAGATAGTTTCTGAAGCTTTTGAAATGAAAACTATGTTCCAGGATTTGAGCCATCAACAGTTGTATTTTTGTGTAACTATCACGATTGACAGCAAACAGTTAAGTTACTTTTTTTTAAATCAACAAATAGTTATACAACATAATAAATTCTATAACATGGTAGCTCATTTAACATTAAGCATTTAGTAAATTATCTGGTTGATATTCCATGTTTACTTTGGGAAACCATAATGATATGAGTAGGAGTCAATGTTCCTGGGGCGGATTTAATTTGGTAGAAATCTTGTAGTTTCCAGCTACTGCCATGTAGTAATGCAGAATTTATTGTAATAGTCTCTTGTTAATGGATTCTAATGTTTCTCTGAGGTGGACAAATAAATCTGAACTCCAGCGGAAATCGCTATTGGTTCTGACTACCAACGCAATAACTTGTATTGAACACAAATCAGGAACACAACACTGAGGCAAGCTCCTTTTTGGGTCCAGAATGGAAAAGACTGTAAGCAAGTCCCATAATTCTGGTTTATTTTAAATTGATCAAAGAAACCCACAAAGCCTCTTGGATTTGTTTCCTTCCTAAATAAAGGCTGACTATACCACACAAATGCATGGCCAAATTTTTGAATGGTCTGATTTGTTCTCCTTCTTGCAAGTTGGAAGATGTAGTGAGAAAAATATGATGGATACAGTATTGAAATTAATCGCATGGAGAGCTGAGACTTCAAGCTATAAGTTCCGATTACTGAGATAAGTGGTTAAGGCGACCCCCACGAAAATTGATGGAAATCAAACAGAAGATATGATAAATGGTGAATTATTATACAACAAAATACATTACATTTGTATAGCACCTTTCACATTGGGATGTCCAATACAATTTACATTGCATAGCACCTTTCACGTAAGAAGGATGTCTCAAAGAGCTTTTCACTGCTGGAGCAGTGGAGGTATTATTTTGGAATCCAAAGTTGGTACACTCTGGTTTTCAGTTTTTTTTTACTCCCCTCAAGTTACTTTACGATTTGACACAACATAACAGTTGAAGACCATATGTCCCTTCGGCAAATCTAAAATTGTCCCAAGCACAAACAACACACACCAGGAAGTTTTTCTTTATTCAGAGGGCTATTAACGACTGGATAAAGTTTACCAGGAAAGATGATTGAGGCCATTTAGAAAGCAACAACAACAACAAAATTACATTTATAGAGCGCCTTTCACGTCAGGAGGATGTCCCAAAGCGCTGAACAGTCAGGTGTCGGGGCCCGAGCGTGGGGGAGGGGTGAGTAATTGATAAAAAAAAACTTCACAAAGAAATGCATTGGTTAAAATGATAAAGCAGCAGCATCAGAGGAACAATATTATTTTTTGCTGCTACAAATTTCTCTATACTGTACATTTCTCTATTATATACTGTATATAATTCCCGGCAGGGGGCGAAACCTTGGGCAAGTTTCCGCACTCCACACCCAATAATGATCCCTCGAGAAAACAAAACAACAATAAATTGGTCATTTTCAAACCACGACTGTTTGTGGGACACTGCTGTGTACAATTGGCTGCCGCGTTTCGCCCACAAATATACAGTCAATTCACTTTAGTCTATCCTGTGAAGCGCTTTGAGACGTCGAGAAGACATAAAATGCACTATATCAAATGCAAGGATTATTATTATATTATATAAGCGCTCTCACACACATTCTCTCTCTCTCACACACATTCTCTCTCTCTCTCTCTCACACACTCGCTCATTCTGTCTCACTCACACTTACACTCCCTCCTCTCACACTCTCTCCCTCCCCGTCTCTCTCTCCCTCCCCCTCTCTCACACTCACTCTCTCCCCCGCCACACTCACTCTCTCTCCCCCCCCCCCCACTCACTCTCTCCCCCCCTTCACACTCACTCCCTCCCTTTCCCACTCTCTCTCCCTCCCTCCCCCTCTCTCTCCCTCACCCTCTCTCTCTCTCCCTAACCCTCTCTCTCACTCTCCCTCCCCCACACTCACTCTCTCCCTCCCGACCCCTCTCCCTCCTGCCCCCTCTCACACTCCCCCCTCTCTCACACTCATTCCCTCCCCCTCTCTCACTTACTCCCTCCCTCTCTCATACTCACTCTCTCTCTCTCCCCCCTTCACTCACTCCCCCCCCACACTCACTCCCCCCCTCACACTCACTCCCCTCCTCCCCTCCCCCTCTCACACTCACTCCATCCCTCACACTCACACCCCCCCCCCTCTCCCTCCTCCCCTTCTCTCTCTCACTCCCTCACCCTCTCACTCACCCCCTTTCTCACTCCCTCCCTCCCTCTCACTCCCCCCCTCCCCCTCACTCACTCCCTCTCTCCCCCCCTTCTCACTCCTCCCTCCCTCCCTCTCACTCCCCCCTCCTCTCTCCCACTCCCTGCCCCCCACCTCCTCTCTCCCACTCCCTCTCTCACTCCCCCCCCTCCTCTCTCCCCCTCTCGCTCCCACTCCCTCTCACTCACTCCTCCCTCCCTCACTCCCTCCCTCTCTCTCTCACTCCTCCCCCTCCTCCCCTCTCACTCCCCCCTCTCTCTCACTCCCTCCCTCCCTCACACTCACTCCCCCCTCCCTCCCTCCCCTCTCTCACTCCCCCCCCTCCCCTCACTCCCCCTCTCTCTCACTCCCCCCCTCCCCTCACTCCCCCTCTCTCTCACTCCCCCCCCCTCCCCTCCCCCCCTCACTCCCCCCCCTCCCCTCACTCCCCCTCTCTCTCACTCCCCCCCTCCTCCCCTCTCACTCCCCCTCCCTCCCTCTCTCTCACTCCCCCCTCCCCCTCCCTCACTCACTCCCTCCCTCCCTCTCCCTCCTTCCCTCCCTCCCTCTCACTCCCCCCCACCTCTCTCTCTCTCACTCCCCTCTCTCCCCCCCTCCTTGTCTGGGAGTTGGCGGGGTCTTTACAGTGAGGTGTCCAAGGCGGCGCCCGCACAGTATTAGCCTCACAGATATTTTAAAGGATCAAAACTGATCCATTGAAAAGAAGAAGAAAAAAAGCAACTTGAAACAAGCGAACACAGCAGCGGGGCTGCGCGTGTGTGTGTGTGTGTGTGTTCAGGGTGTGACACCTGTCTGTGCTGGAGTTTGAAGGGCAGCTATAGCCGGTCCTGTCCGGGCGGTGACGTGGCCCAGTCCGTCAGTCTCTGGTCACTTCCGGGGTCAGCGGCCGAGTCGGCGCCGGAGAGAGAGAGAGAGCCATGTGAGAGCCTCAGCACTGACACAGCGACAACACAGCACTGACACAGCGACAACACAGTCACTGACACAGCGACAACACAGCGACAACAGTCACTGACACAGCGACAACACAGCGACAACAGTCACTGACACAGCGACAACACAGTCACTGACACAGCGACAACACAGCGACAACAGTCACTGACACAGCGACAACACAGCGACAACAGTCACTGACACAGCGACAACACAGTCACTGACACAGCGACAACACAGCACTGACACAGCGACAACACAGCACTGACACAGCGACAACACAGCACTGACACAGCGACAACACAGCACTGACACAGCGACAACACAGTGACTAACATAGTCACTAACACAGCGACAACACAGTCACCAACACAGCGATAACACAGTCACTAACACAGCGACAACACAGTCACTAACACAGCGATAACACAGTCACTAACAGCCACTAACACAGCGACAACACAGTCACTAACACAGCGACAACACAGTCACTAACACAGCGACAACACAGTCACTAACACAGCGACAACAGTCACCAACACAGCGATAACACAGTCACTAACACAGCGACAACACAGTCACTAACACAGCGACAACACAGTCACTAACACAGCGATGACACAGTCACTAACACAGCGATAACACAGTCACTAGTACAGCGACAACATAGTCACTAACACAGCCACTAACACAGCGATAGCACAGTCACTGACACAGTGACAACAGTCACTAACACAGCCACTAACACAGCGATAACACCGTCACTAACACAGCGATAACTCAGTCACTAACACAGCGATGGCACAGTCACCAACACAGCGATAACACAGTCACTAACACAGCGATAACACAGTCACTAACACAGCGATAACACAGTCACTAACACAGCGATAACTCAGTCACTAACACAGCGATGGCACAGTCACCAACACAGCGATAACACAGTCACCAACACAGCGATAACACAGTCACCAACACAGCGATAACACAGTCACTAACACAGCGATAACACAGTCACTAACACAGCGATAACACAGCGACTAACACAGCGATAACCCAGTCACTAACACAGCGATAACACAGTGACTACAGCGATAACACAGTGACTGCAGCGATAACACAATGACTACAGAGATAACACAGTGACTGCAGCAATAACACAGTGACTACAGCGATAACACAGCGACTACAGCAATAACACAGTGACTATAGCAATAACACAGCAACTATAGCAATAACACAGTGCCTGCAGTAATAATACAGTGACTATAGCAATAATACAGTGTCTGCAGTAATAATACAGTGACTATAGTAATAACACAGTGACTATAGCAATAACACAGTGCCTGCAGTAATAATACAGTGACTATAGCAATAATACAGTGACTATAGTAATAACACAGTGACTATAGTAATAACACAGTGACTATAGTAATAATACAGTGACCGCAGTAATAGTACAGTGACTATAGTAATAATACAGTGACTATAGTAATAATACAGTGCCTGCAGTAATAACACAGTGACCGCAGTAATAACACAGTGACTATAGTAATAATACAGTGCCTGCAGTAATAATACAGTGACTATAGTAATAACACAGTGACTGCAGTAATAATACAGTGACTATAGTAATAATGCAGTGACCGCAGTAATAATACAGTGACCGCAGTAATAATACAGTGACCAGAGTAACAATACAGTGACCGCGGTAATAATACAGTGACTATAGTAATAACACAGTGATTGCAGTAATAATAGTGACTGCAGTAATAGTCAGTAACTACAGTAATAATATAGCTTACAGAACAAATACAGAGTCACTGCAAAGTAAATTCCTGTGAAGTTACAGCCTGTAATAGCCACAGAGGCAATAACTACTTATTATTACTGTCACTGTGATTGTGATGGCTGTTCAGAAGGAATAATCATAGTGACAGTAGTAATAGCCTCATAAATAGTAGTACTAAGCATATTATTAATAACGACAGAGGAGGACTGGCCTCCCCTTAAACCAAAGAATTTGGTCACTCAATCCACGACTGTTTGTGGGACATTGCTGTGTGCAATTGACTGCCACGTTTCGCCCACAAATATACAGTCAATTCACTTTACAGTACATTCTGTGAAGCGCTTTGAGGCTCGATATCAAATGCAAGGATTAACCCCAGTAACAGTGCTGATCGCAACACCGACAGTAATAAACACATTAATAATGGCAGTAGCAATAATGTTGATGACATTTATTAACGTTGTGATATATAGCTGTGGTGTGCACCCAACTTATCGCCACAATCTTTTTTTTCTTTAGGTCGAAGGTTACCTTCAAGATTACACTAACGTCAGACCCCAAGCTGCCATACAAAGTGTAAGTCAGTGCACCCACCAGAGATGCATTCTCATTAAATGAAGGGAACAGGACCAGGAATAGAGGGGTTTGGTCAAGGGGAGTAGGAGGGAGAGAGACCCTGACCTACTGAAAGCTGGACATTTTTTAGTACAGAGAACGCTGTGTGCGTGTGGGGAAGTGCTGATTGCCGACCACACCACTTTAAAGAGCAGCTGTGATTTTATGGGCCCCAATCTGCGCTATTGGTCATCTTTTCCCTTGCACACTCTCCCGAGCTATTCCTCCTCGCCCCTACCCACCACCCACCCCCAAGCTGGGACTCCCAGCTGTGAGAAGCACTTTGAATTGTCCTCCCAACATGAAAGTGGCGTTACAAATATAAATTGTTGTTATAATGGGGCTCCACTGAATTGTTCCATATTTATACAATATATGTCTTTTTTTTAGTTGTTCTGTAATTACCGTATCACTAGATTTCCTCTTCACTCCAAATTGAAAATTGGTATGTGGAGGAGGAGAGTTTGTTGGGGAATATTGCCTTATAATTGAGGTTGCTTTATTTTTATTATATCTATTAGATTTTGGTTTGTACTTGGGTTGAATAAAATCTCCAGTGAATGTGTAAAACAGCTGTCAACCATGCTTACCGTATACTGGGCTGCATCTCAAGGGCTGTAGGTTGGGGGGGGCGGTGTTATCTTTAGTGAAGTTACATTGATAATACATGTATTACAGTTTTGGATACCTAACCTTCAAAGACACATTATTGGCAATAGAGAAAGCAGAGAGAATAATTATAGGACTTCATTATAATGATAATAATCTTTGCAATTGATGTAACATCATACGATGTTGATGAATGCCTCAAAACCCTTCACAAGATGCACTGTGAAGTGTAATGAATGTATTTGTAAGCGAACACCTACAATGGGCTACAGTTAAAATTATCACTTGTTGGTTTGTTCGGCTGAAAGAGCAATGATGGAGTGACATGATTTGTGGATTTTATGGGCCTTGATGCTCTACACTCAAGTATTTGTACAAAGTCAGTATTGTAACTCATTGAGGCAGTGTTTGCAGACAACCGTGAACAAAGTGATTTTCACACCAACCCTACTTATTTGTTACTAGTGGAAAGTGCAGTCAAAGTTAGACCACTAAAATTAATGCTGTGTAGCAAGTTGAAATCCACTTTAAGTTGTACCAGTAGTGAAAATTCTATGATCCCTTTAGATGAAATAAGTGGCCCAATACTCTCTGCGAAGTAAAAGACATATTTATTACAAAAAATTCCAAATAAAATACAAACCATCCATTGTCAGGTTTTCAGCCTATCTGATACAATCTACTGTCGGACTTACAATCAACAACATCAACAAATTACATTTGTATAGCGTCTTTCACGTCAGGATACACAGATCCACATCCTACCACTCCTCATGTGCCATATGAATCACTAGCATGCTATAATAAAGTTACCTTTAAGATCCACAGCTAATCTCAGTCACATCCTAGTAATAACATGCATTGATTCTCAATAATCGTGTTTCAGGTTGAGTGTACCCGATGCCACACCTTTCACAGCAGTGTTAAAGTTTGCAGCAGAAGAGGTAAGAAACTTGTGCATGAATTAATTTCTCACACAACTTTTGCGAAGCATCTTTTGGGTGCAATAGCCTTCGTTGACACATTACATTAATCAGATCCCTTGGACACTACAATTATTACTTTGGAAAAATGCTGCTGCAATGCAGTGGTCCATGGTATTTACTGACATGTTCCTCTGATCGTTACATTACTATATTATGCACACTTTTTTAAAAAAGTTTGTCCAATTATTTTTTCTAATCTTCCCAAATGCCTCGCTGCTTCAAATCTGGCCTCTTTTCATTGGGGTATTGTTCTGTGGTTGCTGGTTGCCCTCTGGTACCCGGCTCAAGTGGTCATTGCATATGTGTGAGATCTAGCAGTGAGTCAACTGTCGAAGGTCAGCATTATTGTTGAAAAATGTCTAAAGGTCCTAATTACTATTACTTTCAGCACTATACAGTGAAATTCACATCAGTCTTATCAGTCAGGACTGTAACATTTAATATGATTTACGCAAAGTGTGAATGCAATATGAAATCTGATTTAATCAATAATCTATACTGCGCTTGCATTCTTCAATGCAACTGGTAAGTGTGTATGCACTGATGGGCCAGAACTTGATTTCCCGTGATTCAGTGCAGCCAGTAAGTACGGTAGAGACGTTAGGAGATGATAATAATAATCCTTCCATTTGATATAGCGTTTTTCACGTCTTCTCGACGTCTCAAAAGAGCTTCACAGAATTTGCTGTGAAGTGAATTGACTGTATATTTGTGGGTGAAGATGACTTGTTTTATAAATTACAACTAGTGTAAAGAAATCTAAGTGTATTTTGGCAGGAAACTGAATGGGATTATGGTACACGTATGATTTAGGTGATAATCCGATTTATAAAAATAAGAATTTTGCTGTAGTAATCCTTACATTCAACAAAGGACCTTGTCAAAATGCCTCAAGTGCTTCACTGGATTTACTGTAAGGTGTTGTGACACTATTCTGCATGAAGGGTGTTATATAAATGCAAATTGTTGCAGTGACTATATTTGTAGTCGAATGTGGCAGCCAATTTGGGTCAGTAAAACAAACGGGAGCTACTAGTTAGTGAAGCAAACAAACTAGAGCTAAGAGAATCGTACTTAAAAGCAAATTGCAGAATTCTGATTCTTGGCACAAGTTTAATTTAAGCTTGCCAGCTCTTAGTGCCATATTTAGCTGGATTTAACCAGCCTATTCATTTGAATAAATACAATAGTGACAAATAAAATTAAATTTCTGACCTAGAAATCAGTAGGGATGGGCCACATCATTTGTTTCTGAAGATGACTAAATGCCAGGGTTCTCTATTTATTTGTTTATTTTCATTATCTGTCAAGATATTGCCAATTACATCCTTGTGATTGTCAAGGAGATTGAACTGATTAGAATGATATACACAGTGCTTTGATTCCATTGGTGTGAAATTGACCTGAAAGCTTTGTTAAATTGAAGAAGAACATTGCATCTTTAAGGTAAGCTCTTACTCAGGGTATTTAGACACAGTTCCCGAACCAGAACAATTTATAATTCTTGTGTTCCATTTCAGTAAAACTACATATTTATATTTATTTCACGTTTGGGAGGATGCCTCCTTCAAATAGCTGACTTGGTGCCGTAATGAGTTAGAGGTGGCCAAAAGTGTGGTCCAAATGTTGAATAGAGGTTAACATATTTTTGCCAGTTATAAGAGTGGTTCTGGATTCATTTGAGCTTTGCTTCTTATCGGCAACGGGGCTGGCATATCTGAAACTGACAGCAGTGGCCATATCGAGCAGTAATATAATCATGTCTGGATTGTATTCTGTATTTACTATTATGTTTGGAGAAAGGTTGACTAAACTCACTTGACAAGACAGCTAAGGACAAAATTGGAGGTTTCACTTTCTTACGGCAACGTGAGAAATTCCCTACTTTCAAATCCTGCCTAAAGACCTTCCTTTTTGATCGCGCTTACGGTCAGCTCCCTCTCCCCCTGCTCGGGGTCAGACTCTGTCACTGTCAAGTGCTCCGGGACGCTACCCCACGTGAGGGTGCTAAATAAACGCAAGTTGTTGTATATTACTTTTTTTAATCCACACGTGAAAAAATTATACTAATTGGACTGAAAAGAAAAGATTTGCTACTGTATTTGGGTCGCTGAACTCTTGCTATTTGTTTCGGTGTAGTACGAGACTTTGAGTAATAATAATCATCCTTACATTTGGTGGTGTACCTTTCACGTCCACAGGGACTTCACAAAGCGCTTCACAGGATTTACTGTAAAGTGCAGTGACTGTGGGTGTTCAACCAATTCTGAAGTTTTCTGCAGCTCAAACTTTTCTGAACTAAATTATTCAGCTACAATTTAAAGTATATTATAATTCAGTAAGTCAAATGCAGGTTAATATTAAGAAGACCCAAATATCTTCTAAAATCAGCCCACAATTTAGATTTCTTTGATTGTCAGAATTTTCCAGTTGCACACAGGAAAATGTACTGCTCATATGCTTACAGTGATGCATTAAACATGTAGAGATTTTGTGTGTCAAAATGTTTGTCAGGTGGCTTAGTTGGTAGTAACTTCAACACCGAGTCTTAATGGTGTGGGTTCATGTCCCACTCTTGGACACTTAACTTATATAGACTCTTCTGCCAGTCCATTGCAGTGCTGTCGAAGAGCTACATTGTTGGAGGTGGTACGTTAATACTGAGGTCTCATCTGCCTGTTCAGGTGGATGTTAACAACAACAACAAAATCACATTTGTATTGTGCCTTTCACGTCAGGAGGACGTCCCAAGGCGCTGTTAAAAGATCCTGTGGCATTATTTAAAAAGAGAAGGGAGTTTCTCCCAACGTGCTGGCCAACAATACCACCAAATAAAAATTGGTCATTCACTTTGTGGCTGTTTGTGGGACATGGCTGTGTTCAAATTGGTTGTGGCATTTACTATGTATAAGTTATATAATAATACTTACACTTGATATCGCACCTTTCATGTCAGAAGGCCGTCTCAAAGTGCTTCACACAGGATATGCTATGAAGTGGAGTGACTGTGTACCTTGTGGGCGAACTTTGTTTGATTATAAAGAAATGGGGATATTAATATGAAATTGTTCCTAATGTGGTAAAGATGTTAAAATGCTGCACCAGAGTGATCAGACATCCCACACATTCTAGTGAGCGACTGATCCCATTGGAGTTGTGTGGGAGGACAAGTCATTCACCAATGGAGGGAGTAATAAGCCAACTCAATATCATAACACACTGATGAACTCATAAGTCAAATGTCGGTTTTGTAATTTAATTGAATGCTTGTGATTAATCTGCCTCATTCCCTGCAAATGTACTTGTATGAACTGAAAAATATCATTTTAGGTAATTTTAGGTAATGGAGAATAATAAAAATAATAATCCTTGCATTTGATAGAGTGCCTTTTACATTGAAAGTACTTCTAAGTACTTCAGAGATTATACTGTAAAGTGTAATGCCTTTTTTGTAGGTGAACACGGCAGGTAATTTGGGCTCAGCAATGTCTCATAAAGTGAGTGACCAATTTTATTTGTTGGAATTGTATGCCAGGGCACCAGGAGAAACTTCCTTCTCCTTTTTGAATAGTGCTATGGGATCTTTAACTGAACAGGTAGTTTGAACGTCAGTTTAACATTTCATCCGATGAACAGCACCTCAGACAATGCAGCAGTGGGATGAAGAATGGTAAACATTTCGGTAGCATTTTCAAGATGAACCATGTTTGTCAACATTTTATTGCTCTCTTTCTATCATTCCAAGCTAGGCTGTCCATTAATACCATAAGATATCATCAGTACACAAACACCTATGAAGTATGAAGTTATGACCAATTGTATTTGGCGAATCATTTGGGGGTGGAGGTAAGTGCGTTCTCCTTGGAGCTGAACTGGTTCCAAAGTATCATGTTTGCCAACCGAATGTCAGAATCGAGCCAACCTTCTGTTGTAGTCTCAGTAGTCCAGTTCCAGGTGGATTTGTAGTATTCCAGGGCACTGCTGATAGCTGAACAGTAGGACTTGGAAGGCAGACCAGTCGCTGGGACCGATTACTCTTCCCACTTAGCTCCTGTTAAACCTGCAAGTCAAAGCTCTGACGTGTAAACAGATGGGAAGCTTTCCAAGCGGTGCTCTCAATGGCTGGTTAGACTCCAGCAGTACCCCAACACACACTGGGATGCCCCATCCTTGGCTCTTGCCAACCTGCATCTATTAGTTTGCAGATTAGGTTTGCAGGATGTGTCCCTCCAGGGAGGAAGTGTGCATTCCATTCCAATAAACATCTTTGAATTTTCAAGTATAAGTGGGATGCATTGGATCTCTCAGTTTGGTTTGGATACTCTTAAGCATGGATGGGTTGTCAAGACACCTGGCTGACCAAAAAAATAAATTGGAGGATTGTTGATCAGGAAACTGGGGGAAACTCCCTCACAGTTGATTACTGACCTTGGTTTCTTCTGAATCTGGTTTTGTTTAGTTCCTGAAACTCTTATTTATTTGAAACCTTGTTGGGGCCCGGTAAAAATAAATGCTATGGTTTTCCGTGAGCTTTGCAGTTGTTAATTTAAGATTTGGAGATGAGGGTCATAATCACGAACCACAAAGTCATAAGTGAATCGTAGAAGAGTTTACCAACTTCAAAAGAGCAACACTCACAGAATGCTAAAACTGACTTGATCTTTGTGAACTGAAAATATCTATCTTACAGCTCAAACCAATTACAGCTTCATTGATTTTTTTTAATATGAAAACTTGGCCATTGCAAGCTGATCCAGTTTATGTAACAAACCCATTTTTATAGTGATGGAAGCAAATATGCTCCTAGAAGTTGAACAATTTGGAGCGTGAAACAGGATTTAAAATCTTTGCTTGCATTGCTGTTGCCGGGACTTGAGCTAACCGGTGTCGAAAAGCAGTAATGAACGTTTCAATATTTTAATATTTTAAACATTATTGTGCAGAACATTGTCTGAATGAAAAAAAATTGGAAAAGCTGAGAACGTAACACAAAACTGATTCCAGCACTTTATCCATAGAAATTCGTGCAAATGTATTCAAATATATTTCTAATCTATACCACAGTACCAAGTGTGTCACTGTGGTATAGATCAGTTAGTAGCGTGTTTCGTCTCTGGATTCGAAAATTGTAGATTCAAGTTCTCCAACAGGGACATTGAGTTCACTGTCTAGGTTGACACTCCAGTACAGTGCTGGGGAGCACTGCATTACAACAACAACTTGCATTTATATAGCCGTCTCGCCAGGGTAGAGTCCTAGAGCGCCCATTATTGGGATATGCCGTCTTTCAGGTGAGATGCTAAATGTCTGTCTGGTCAGGTGAATGTTAAAGAACCCCTACTCCTTATTTAAAAAGAGAAGGAAGTTTCTCCTGGTGTCCTGGCAAATGGTCCTCCATTTGATTAGTCATGCTTCTCTTGACTGTTTGTGGGACATTACTCTGCACAGCTTTGCTGCCACATTTACATACAAATAGTCACTACTATTTTCAGTAATTACTGTGGAATACTTTTAAGATGTTTTGACGTGATGAGGCACTATATCAAATACAAGGATTATTTTTTATTACTGTATTTTGTTTTCTGTAGGAATAACATTTCTGGTGGCTTAAAGTATCAACACTTAAGGAGAGTAGGGAAGAAAAATATGCAATATATGACAGAAGGGTGAAATCCGTTGCCGAGTGCCATACTCTTGTATCTTGGTCAGAGAGGTGTGAATTCACATCCCAGGTTGGAGTGTTAAGTTCAGCGTCCAGGCTGATACTCTCATGCAGTTGTGGGGGAAGTGCTGCATTATTGAAAGTTCTGTCTTTAAGATGAGATGTTAAACCAGGATCTCATGACATTGTTCGAAACCAAAACGAAGTTTTTCCCGGTGTCCTGGTTAGCAATCAACAACAACAACAACAAGATTCCATTTATAGAGCGCCTTTCACGTCGGGAGGACGTCCCAAGGCGCTGTACAATTGGGTCAGGACCCGAGCATTGGGGGGAAATGGTCAGGGTGAGGGGAGGGAAGGGAGGGAGCGAGGAGACGGTAGAGAGTCGAGAGGGGAGCTGAAGGCTCGGTCAAAGAGGAAGGTCTTGAGACCGGCCTTGAAGGAGGAAAGGGAGGAAGCGGCGAAGGCACTGGGGGATGGAGTTCCAGAGCCTCGGGGCTGAGAGGCTGAAGGCCCGGCCACCGATGGTAGGGCGGTTGAGGCGGGGGGTGTGGAGCAGACCGGAGCCAGAGGAACGGAGGGTACGGGCAGGTAGGTAGGGGTAGGTCAGAGAGGTAGGAGGGAGCGAGGCCGTGAATGGCCTTGTAGGTGAGGATGAGGATCTTGAATTCTATCCTCCAGATAGATACACCATTCACTTCATGTTTGCTTGTATGTGCTTCCTGTGTGGATATTGGCTGCCATGTCTGTCTACAAATGCAGTCACTATATTTGAGAGCTACTACCAATCAAAAGCTTTGAGCCAATTTGACATTATAGGGATCATATCATATACGAATATTATTGTTGTATCTTTTCCCCTGGATTTGACTAACCCTTTGTTTCAGTAAATGTGTCTGATCATTTATTTCTGCATAGTTTGCTTGTTAGAGTTAAAGTAGTTTTCAATGACATCCTTAGCTTCTGATTCTTTGCCATAATCCAGCTGTCAAACAGTCAGAACCAGCAAGATGTTACTTAGCTTCCCTATTTCACCCCAGGAGGAAAGAACTAAGAAAGAGACAATACAATTTACATTTATTTAGCATCTTTCACGTCGGGAAGATGTCTCTGGCTGGCTGGGCACCCAAGCTGGAGGGTAGGAACAGAAGAGCTGTGGAGGAGAAAAATGACAAAAGTGTGGGTCAAAGAGGAGCGTCTTGGGTTGGGCTTTCAACGTGGGGAGGGAGGTAGCGAGTCCGAAAATCTTAATCTCAGCCTTAAAACCATTGTCTTAAAAATAACTGCACAAAATGGCTCCCAAATTAAAATTTAATTTAAGAATTTTCCTAAATTCTGTGTGATTTCAAATTTTACGGCAATGATCTTTAAGTCTATTATTATGGGTAATGTGACGCAGGGGAAAGATATTTGGTGTGTTCTACTTGCTTGTTATTTTAACCAGTTTTTAAAAAATCTTCATATGCGCTGAATAGGTCTGTTTAAGGAACATTTACCAAGAGAAATATTGCTTCCAATATTGCTGTTTGTTACACAGACCAGTTTATGGAACTGTGTTCCGATGGGTTTCCGCATGTTTCAGACACCTGGCTGATGCAACAAAAAAGAATATACTGGAACATATCTTCTAGAAAATGCTTCCTCCCTCACAAGTTCAAGCGTATAAAATACGTTTTCTATAACACGCTATTACTTGCTTTTGTATTATTTCCAGAAACTATGATATAAAAATTAGTCCTCTACTACACTGATTCAAAATGAGTTTGTTCAGAATTTTAATTGTATTCTTTGTGTTGCTTTTCTTTCAGTTCAAAGTACCAGCAGCATCCAGCGCTATTATAACAAATGGTAAGAATACTGATTTCCCACTTTGCAAACCTCTTCACAGGATATACGTAAAGTGCAGTAACTTTTTTTAGGTGAACCTTATCGTTCGATGAACTTGATCATGTGAAAATGTAATTGAGCAATTATTTTGTTCCATTTCAGATGGGATAGGAATAAACCCTGCTCAATCCGCAGGTGAGTAAAACATTAAATTATTGCTGAAAGCTATTTGCAGGCATCAGCTTCATGACAGCTATGTTTCAAAGGCCAATCCACAAATGAGTTTGTCAGTAATATACAATTTCATATTTCTTCACCATAAAATTTAAGAAAGAATTGCTCTTGGAGTCGACGTTAAGATAAACAACAACAATTTGCTGGACCCAAGCCGGGAGGGAGAGGAGGAAGGAAGAAACCATAGTCAAAGAGATAGGTTTTGGGGTAGCCTTTGAGGACCAATAGAAATGGAGTAAACGGAGGGGCTGAGAGACAGGAAGTTCCGTTTGGTGAGGCCCAAGTGACTGGTTGCCTCTGGTGGTAGAGGGCACAGGCAGATGACCAGCAGCAGGCCTGAGATTGTCGAGCCGAGGGAGAAAAAGGTTAGAGCAGATCACACAGGAGAATCAGGATGAACACTCAAAAGTTTTTTTGGGGTAAAGATTTGATTAGCAGAGTTTGGCCAAGCTGAAGCTTGTGAATGGTGGAACTTAGGAGATCAGTGAGGAGAGAAGTTGAGTTTAGAGGTGATAAAGACGTGATGAGGGTTTCAACTGCATAAGGAGTGAGAAAGGGACAGAAGCTGGCCAGGAGGCTAAGATGTAGAAAAGCAACATTGGTCAACAATAACTTGTATTTTTACAGTGCCCTTCATATAGGATAGCATCTTGGAGCGCTGGTCAGAGGGGCTAGATATGAGGGAGGAAAGTGAGCTGAGCGTTGAACTGAACACCAAGGTTGTGCATTGGTTCAGTAAGTTGAAAGGAGGAGATTTGAAGAAGTCAGAGCCAGAAGCAAGTTGTTGTTGGTGTTCGCGAGAGCTGAGGAGCTTGGCTTCCGTCTCATCCACATTGAGCTGAGGAAGTTGAAGCTCCTCCGGGACTTGATGTGGCAGACAAGCAGTCAGGACATCAGTGGACTTGAAATCAATGGTAGAGGTAAAAAGATGAATTTGGGTGTCGTAAGAAGTAATTGATTTATAATGTGTCTTGAGAGTTTGTACAAAGGTTCAGAGCCAGTCTTACTGCTTGTCATATAGGGAAATTGGATGCCACATTTCACCCTCAAAAGATAGTCAATTCACTTTAAAGTATATTCTGTAACATGCTTTGAGGCATCTCGAAGATATGATAAGGTGCTATATTAAATGCAAGGATTATTATTATTGTTATTCTCAGGCCGCTAATGCATTGTTAACCTACAGTTTTGACTTCATGCCCTGGGCATCAATTGGTCAGTTGTACACATTTCTGAGGATGATTTTTTTAGACAGTATTAGTCCCGTAATATTTTGAGACTGTTCATCTGACACATTTATACTTAGGCAATTTTCCAGTAATGAACCTGCTGTCAAATCTTTACAGAATTAAGTGGCAATTTATACATACAAGCACTGAAACAGCAACATCTTGTTTCCTTCTGCTTCAACTCTGATCAAAATCAACTAATTCCTTAAGTAACATGAAGTGAAGACTCCTCACTCTAGTTGGGGAATTTGAGATATAACCTCAAAATGAGAGCTTTGTTAACTTAAAGAGGAGTCCAAAAACATTTCTTTATACTAAGGTTCCTGAGAATATGGAACGGACTGCCTCGGAAGGCCATCGACACTCAGTTAAATGAGGTAGAATATGGCGAAAGGACAGGGAAGTGGATTTTAAGTACTTTATGTTGATAGCCCTTTACACTGCTAATCAAGCTAATAATAATTAATAATAATAATAATCCTTGCATTTGATATAGCACCTTTATCATGTCTTCAAGACATCTCAAAGCGTTTCACAGAATATATTGTAAAGTGTATATTTTGTGGGCATACAGACTGTATATTTTGTGGGCATTGTTGGAAGTACACTTTTCAGAAGAGATGTTAAACCGAGGTCATCTGTCTGGGTGAATGTTGAAAATCCCACGGCACTGTTCAAAAAGAGAAGGGAGTTTCTCCTGGTGTCCTGGCCACCAATCCGCCAAATAAAATTGATCACTCAATTTATAGCTGTGCGTGGGTCATTGCTGTGTGCAAAAATGGCTGCTGTGTTTGCCTACAAATACATAATCACTACTTTACAGTAAATCCTATAAAGCGCTTTGTAAGATATACTTACAATGTGAAAGGCACTAAACTATATGCAAGGATTATTATTAATGGTGGATCAGGCTCAGCAGGCTGGCTGCAAGTACCTATTTTGCAAGAAGAACCAAGTTTCAAGGAAAAATAATAACTTTTGTTCAAAACTAATTTGAAACTAAATGACTATCACAAAAAAAGCTTTTTAAATGATTTGGAATGATCTGCCTGAAAGGGTAGTGAAGTCCGATTCGATAACAGCTTTTAAGAGAGAACTGGATAGGTATCTGGGGAGGACGGGTTTGCAGAGTTATGGGAAGAAAGCTGGTGATTGGGGTTAGTGAAAGTGACTTGCTCTGTCAAAGAGCCGGCACAGACTCGATGGGCCGAATGGCCTCCTTCTGTGCCGTAACATTCTATGAATCTATGAAAAAAAGTACAAAAAGAGTTAATCGAAAATGATTCCCGTGGAAAATGTGTACTACATGGAATACTTTGAGGTGCAATAGTTATTTGGTTTTGATATTTGTGCAGTATTTATCAGTCAGCCTTTTCCCTCTGTATGTGCACTGTTTAAAACACGAACAATCATTTTTTCACAAGTGAACTGTTCTGCATGGGCTGTAAATCTACATTAGGCAAATTCAGCTGACTATCAACTATATAACAACTTGCATTTATATACAACAACAAGAAGATTACATTTGTGTAGCGCCTTTCACGTCGGGAGGACATCCCAAGGCGCAGGGTAGCATCTCAGAGCGCTTAACAGTGGCGGAGCCTGACTCCGAGCCGACTGGGTGAGGGGGAGGTGATCATAAGCACGATCAAAAATGAAGGCTTTAAGGTGGGACTTGAAAAAGGGCGGCAAGGCCGAGGGATTGAGAGAGAGTGTTACAGAGTTTCGGGGCCTAGTGGCTGAATGTGCGTCCTCCAATTGCGGTGCAGAGGGTGCGAGGGACAAGCAGGAGGCCGGTGCCAGTCGAGCGGAGGTACTGCATGGTGGATTGGGGAGTGAGGAGGTCAGAGAGGTAGGGAAGTGCCAGGGAGTGAAGGGATTTCTACACATAGTAATAGCGCATAATCATTTATATTTGCCTCTTCTGCTGGATGGAGTCTCGTATGCATTGCAGTAATAACTGTTGAAATATTCCAGTTGGAGCACACATCATCATATCCACTATATTCCACACATGGCAGATGGGTTCATTTGGTTGCTGGCACATGGCTCTGAGCATAATATAAAATGTTAATAAGGCTGCAGACAAATCCATTTTAATAAAAACAAAAATGTGTGAATTGGTAATTTTTTCTTGAAGAAATGAAAATTATTATGCACAAATAAAAGCCCAGCTCGGATTAATATAAGAAATGACTGAAATGTCATGAGTGTAATCTTCCTCATGAAATTCTGAAGTGCCTTTGATCTGTACAAGTTGTGGTGAAAGGGTGAGCATGCGTGGGCCCTGGGGCAGGACATGGGGACAGATATTAAATTGACTTGAAGGTTTTCATTACATATGAGACAGTCTTCAAGCAGGAATGAGCAGCAAGGGCCTGCGAGGTCATGGGTTGAAAGTAATAGCCAAGAGCGCTCCCTCCCAAGGAAGGAGAACTTCTGAACTGTTGTGGCCTCCAGGCACTACATACTGTAAAAGACGAACTTGAAGATTATCCAGGGTTGATTGACAGGGATGCAATAGGTTGATGGTTCATGAAAAAAAGAAACCAGTGGGCCGCAAATCCAATTGAACAATTTGATTGATTGATTGAGATCAGTCGCTCACGCGCTGCTTGAGTAACCGGCAACCTGGAAGCTTGCCATTGTTAATGTGCGCAACAACTAAAACGTATTAAACACAAAATAGCAAAAAATTGGCATTTTCACCACCAATATTTAATAACTTTCCAGTATGTATACGAGTAAGTATAAGATTATGCTTCAATCATAATAACTTGCATTTATATGCATTTATAATAGCATCTTTTATGTCAAAAGAAATGTCTCAGTGTTTTGGTATAATTAATAATAAAAATGAATCTTGGCAAACATGGCAGCTAATCTACAGAGAAAAATAAAAAAAACCTTGCATTTGATATAGAGCTCTATCAAAACATCTCAAAGCATTTCACAGGATATACTGTAAATTGTGTGAATGGGATGGATGAGTAGCCAATTTATTTTTTTAAATTTGGCGGTATAAATTTGGATTGGGAGGATAATATAAAAGACGTTAACTGTGAGAAAGACTCCACATATTTCTAAAGGCCAATCCCTATATGTTTACCTGAATCACAAGACAGACAGAACTGAAAATAACCCAATCAAAGAATGGGATTTCCATCTGGGAATAAATAATAATAACAAAATTACAATTTATATAGACTGTTATATAGGCAAATGAGGCAGCATTTATAAGGAATAAAGTCCTTGTTTGTACATTCAGTGTTTATAATCTAATTTTATTGAGGACAGAATGGAGTAAAGTCCCATTGTCAGGTGGACCTTGGGGTTCATAAAATTCCAATTAGCCCTTGTAATGGGTTCGTTGGTCATCCCCTCTACATTGTAATGACACTGATTACATTAGGTTACCTTACTGGTCCACGTGGAAATTCCAGCAGTAGATTGTTGGAAGGTCAACATTATAATTAGGGAGAATCTGAAGAAATAATCCTTACCTTTGGTAAAGCTCTTTTATCACTTCTTTGAATATCTCAAAGTGTTTCATAGGATTTACTGTAAAGTGTATTGATTGTGTTTGTGTGCTATTGTGGCAGGCAATTTTGTGCACGGTAATGTCCACAAACAGGACGAGAATTAAAAGTTATTTGTTGCAAACTTGTACTGTACTTCAAAAAAATGTTGAAAATCTACTTTCCCAAGTGAATGCACAATTCGTGGAGTGCTGTATTGGTTAGAGCACTCGCCTTGCAAGCGAGGTGACCTGGGTTCAATTCCCGGGCAGGGCGAAACCTTAGGCAAGTTTCCTTTCTCCACACGCTTCGGTTTATTTAGCAGTAAGCAGGAACCCGGTTGTTAGTAGATCGGCGAATCGCTTTTCCGGAGGTAAATTTTAAAAAAAAACGATGATGTTGTCACTGAATCCATGACTGTTTGTGGGAGACTGCTATACGCAATTGGCTGCCACGTTTTGCCCACAAAGCGTCTCAAAGCGGACATCAAGGCTCCGTGACCCCATCACTCCCACCCTCGCCCGACTCCACTGGCTCCCCATTCCTCAGAGGCATACCATCGGTGGCCAGGCTTTCAGCCTCTCTGCCCACACACTCTGGAACTCCATCCCACACTCCCTTGCCTCCTTAAAGGCCGGTCTCAAGACCCTTTCTTTGATTGTGCCTTTGGTCGCCCTCCCATTCCCTGTCTTCCCTCACCCCTACACCACCCATGCTTAGGTCCCAACCCCTGACTGTCCAGCGCTTTGTGATGTCCTCCTGACGTGAAAGGCGCTCTATAAATGTAATTTTGTTGTTTAGAAGATGTGATAAGGCGCTATATCAAAAGCAAGGATTATCATTATTATTTAACAGTTATGCTTTTTCTCCTATATAGCCGGCTTTAATCGTTTTAGTCAGCATAATTATAAGCAGAGTAAAATTTCAATCAGTTTACACTTCAAATCATAATGGTAACTTAACTATGGATGCCTTCAGAGATGCTTTTGGCCCCCATGGGATGCATGACATTGACTTAATATTGTACATCAAAGTTTGGTATAACAAGAAGATTCTTCACGATTCTAAATCTATCTATGGAAAAAGCTAGCGAAATATAACCTTTACAAACTGAGAAGGCTATTATTGTGGGTTGGGGATGGGGGAAAGAAAGGACCTGAAGAAATATATAAAATAGTAAATGTACAGACAACAACAGCTTGCATTTACAGTGGTGGGATTGGATGCCAAGCAAGGGGGGAGGGGTGTTGAGCGCTTTGAGGCGCTACCCTGCATGTAGGCCGGTATTTAAGTGCAAGTTGTCGTTGATGATCATTGGCGAGGTCGAAGAAGTAAGTCTTAAGGTGGGAATTAAAATAGATGAAGAGGGGATGAGTGGAAAATTGAGGCAGCGAGTTCCAGAGATTTGGGGTTTATTGGCTGAAGAAAGACACCAATTTGGGGCGGGTGTTGGGGAACATGCAGCAGGCCTGTGTTAGCTGACAGAAGGGGCAGGCAGAGGAGTGAGGTTCGAGCGGGTCAGAGAGTAGGGAGATATTAGGGCTCAAAAGGATTTTTATGTGATGATGGGGATCTTGAAATCGATCCTATGGGATAAACCTAATAAAAGTTAGTTGTTAAGTAAAGGTCATAAATGGAAGCTCGTGAAATTATAGAAAGGATGTCTGGAAAAGCTTCAATACTTTTGATTAATTTTTCCTGACCGATGTAATGGGGCAACATAATTGACGTTACTGTAAATACAATTAGGTCCTTTTTATTGGTCACCTAGATTTCTGACACATACAGAAACCCATCACCATGGTTTAATTTCTCCCTGGATGGCCACACCCTGCTTACCCAATACCAAAGAGTATTAGATGCAGGTTGATGAGTGCCAAGGCTTGGAGACTCTCAAGTGTGTGTTAGGGTAACTGCTGGAGTTCAACTACCGAAAACTACATAGCTTGCCATTGACAGCACTGTCTGGCAAACGTCCTGTTGCTAACGCTGTTAGGACCACCCTAGCTGTTACGGCTTGGCTTGCAGGGTTAGCAGGAGTCGAGTGGGAAGAATCCCTGCTCCCAGTGACTGGTCTGCCCCTCCAAATCCAGCTGATGAGCCAGGCTGGCTGGTCTGTTATTAGCACTGCCTTGGAGTACTGCAGACCTATGATGGGAGAGATAATGTATTCGAGTGAAGAACTTCAGTTGACCAAATGACCTTATTTTTGTTATATTTTCCCACTATTGTTAATTGTTGCACCGGTGTTGAACTACCTGGAGTGAACTTGGTTTGTTATTTGGCGGTATATCAACGTGCAGCCAAAAGCTGCGTTCATCCTGCCTGTTGTACACAACTTTGCATTAGAAAGAAAATGCACTAGAAAAAGAAGATCCAGGTGAAATTCGTTGATAACGTAAATGTGTGCCATTTAGAATTCCAAATGGCAATGACATTGGTGTGCGAACGTTGTGGATAAAACCTGACGAGGAACCTCCTAAGCGACTGACAGCTTGGCTGGGAACTGCCATGAATGTTCAGCGCTCCGAGGTGCTATCCTGCAGGAATATATTAATGCAAGTTGTTCATCCTTGCATTTGATATAGCACTTTTCACGTCGGGAGGATGTCCCAAAGCGCTTCACAGAACACACTGTAAAGTGAATTGACTATATTTGTGGGCGAACGCGGCAGCCAATTGCGCACAGCAATGTCCCACGAACAGTCGTAGATTGAAAATGACCAATTTATTATTGTTTTTGGTTTTGGAGGGATTATTATGAGGCTCTGTGTGGAGTAAGGAAACTTGCCCAAGGTTTCGCCCTCTGCCTGGAATTGAACTCAGGTCTCTCGCTTGCAAAGCGAGTGCTCTAACCACTGAGCTACATGTTGCTTAGTTACAGTAAAACAAACTATGATCCTCTCGCTTTGCTTCTTAGTGGAATGTTGCTTCCAGACAGGAAAGTTAAACCAAATTGCTTTGGAGAGAAGCTGCACTGATATTTGGAAAATTCACTGGAGAGTGTGCGACACTTTCAGATATCTGTGGTATTTAGATTATCAGGAGCATAAATTAGGTTATGTAAATTCAGCAATTTCTTGTGTTCTCCTTTACTACTGTTAAGCATTGCAGTGCAGTTAGTTGACAGGAATAAAACTGGGTTGCTCTTGGCTGTATATCAATGCGGTGCTGGACGCCGTGTTTATGCTGCCTTTCTAACCACTTTGAAGAGACGAGTTGCTTGCCTGTATGATATCTTAAAGCCAATTGTCATGCTTTTGCTAACCAGGTTTTATTCTGATTGCTTTTTTAATTGTAGGAAATGTTTTCCTGAAGCATGGCACAGAACTGCGACTCATCCCCAGGGACCGTGTTGGAAGCCATTAACCTTTTGCTGCCCATATAATGGACAGGAAACCATCTTCTCCTGCTGAAGAAACAAACCCATATTTATTTTGGAAATTTTTGGTCCATGCTACACCTGTTTGATACACATTCCTGTTAAAAGTTCTTGATAAGGTTCTCGGGATTTAATTAACCAACAGATCTTTCAAGAGAGAAGATTTAAATTGTGCACACTGTAAATCTGCCCAGCGGTAACCAGACATTTAAAAATTATCTGTACTGCATTGGAATTGTTGAAAGACTGGACTGCAAAGAGTTGTCAAGCAAGTAGAGTTAATGCCTTAATGTATGGAATTGTTGTACTGTATTAAGGAATAACCTGCACCTAGTGATCTAGTAAATATGATCTGCTCAGAATGAACTCAGATNAAAAAAATGTAAAGTTTGACATTATGTTCCCAAAGCTTCATTTTGTCAGTATCTTGACTTTATATAATCCATTTTCTGTGTATTCACAAGATATAAGCCATCTAATTCAATAAAATAAAAATGCTTGTGACAGAATGAAAAGGTGAAGGCATCTCACTTTTACCTGTACAGATTTGAAAGTCGCAAGTGTAGGTGGAATGCATGGAGCTCTCAATTTGGTTTGGATGCTCTTAAACATGGTGATGGGTTTCTGCATGAGTTACACACCCAGCTGACCAAAAAAACAGAAGTGGCCTGTGCTAAGTCTGTTTGTGGGACACTGCTGTGCGCAATTGGCTGTTGCGTTTCGCCCACAAAATATACAGTCAATTCGCTTTACAGTATATTCTGTGAAGCGCTTTGAGACGTCTCGAAGTTGTGATAAGGCGCTATATCAAATGCAAGGAATAAGGATTATTGTTATAGCTAGTCCATACTGGTATCTACTCTACATGAGCCTTCACCCCTCCTAATCTGCTGTCCTATATCCCTCTATCCCCTGCTCTCTCATGTATGCATGTTTGGACAGTTCATGAATTTAATCACATTCAACAGACCTCCAATATTCAATAATCTCTCAATAGAGCTCGATTTTCGCAAGTGGCTTGAAGATTCATAGTATGGCTATAAAAAAGATTGGTGATTAAAGTGTTTTCATTGCGGGGTACTTACAGAAACTGATAAGGACCATATGGCATTGCACACTGTATAAGAACTGCGACTAAATGGTTGATTGCAAGTGTGCAACAACTTGCATTTATACTGCATCCTTCACATAGGTTAATGCTTTATAGTTCTTTACAGATGCTGAGCATGGCATAAGGGGAAGGTGACCATGTGTGCAGTTGAAGAAATAGGTTTTTAAGTGGGAATTAAAAACAGAAAGACTATAACTTTCCAGTAATGGGAAGGAGATGGCTAGAGAAAAGGAGTTCAAGAGGTTTGGGGCTGAAGTACTACATATTAGTAGAGACACAAATATTTAGTGTTTTATACTTCCTTGCAGCAATGAAATGAACTGAGACAACAATTAACTGAAGGGAGTTACTCCCAGTGTCTGGGCCAAAAATTCAGTTCACTTCAATGCTGTTTGTGGGATGCTGTTATGCTTAAATTGGCTGCCATGTTACCAACAAAATGCCCAGTCATTACACTTTACAATAAATCCTGTAAAAAGGCCTTGGGACCTTCTCCGAACATGAACAACAACAACAACAAGATTCCATTTATAGAGCGCCTTTCACGTCGGGAGGATGTCCCAAGGTGCTGGACAGTTGGGTCAGGACCCGAGCAGGGGGGAAATGGTCCGGGTGAGGGGAGGGAAGGGAGGGAACGAGGAGGGGGGAAATGATCAGGGTGAGGGGAGGGAAGGGAGGGAGCGAGGAGGGGGGAAATGATCAGGGTGAGGGGAGGGAAGGGAGGGAGCGAGGAGGGGGGAAATGGTCAGGGGGAGGGAAGGGAGCAAGGAAGGGGTAGAGAGTCGAGGGGAGCTGAAGGCACGGTCAAAGAGAAAGGTCTTGAGACCGGCCTTGAAATAGGAAAGGGAGGAAGCGGCGAAGGCACTGGGGGATAGAGTTCCAGAGCCTCGGGGCTGAGAGGCTGAAGGCCCGGTCACCGATGGTAGGGCGGTTGGGGCGGGCGATATGGAGCAGACCGGAGCCAGAGGAATGGAGGGTAGGGGCAGGTAGGTAGGGGGATAGTAGGTCGGAGAGGTAGGAGGGAGCGAGGCCGTGAATGGCTTTGTAGGTGAGGATGAGGATCTTGAATTCTTGAAAGATGCTTTATCAAAAATGTAAGGATTATATTAAGATAAAGCACTAGAGAGGTACGGATCAAGAAAGTCCATTTATATAAGCTAGATAATACAATCTTAAAGGGGGTGAAGAAACAGACAGACCAGGCGGTTCATATATATATATAAATCTTTGAAGGTGGCAGGACAGGTAGATACAGCTGTTAAAAAAAGCATACGGGATACTAGGCTTTATAAATAGGGGCATAGAATATGAAAATCAGGAAGTTATGATGAACTTTTATAAAACACTGGTTGGGCCTCAGCTAGAGACTGTGTTCAGTTCTGGGCACCACACTTTAGGAAGGATGTCAAGGTATTGGAGAGAGTGCAAATGAGATTTACTGGGATGGTACCAGGAATGAGGGACTTCAGTTATCAGGAAAGGCTGGAGAAGCGAGGAGTATTCTCCTTGGAGCAGAGAAGGTTAAAACGAGACTTAATCAAAGTTTTCAAAATTATGAGGGGATTCGATAGGGTGAACAAGAAGAAACTATTTCCACTGGCGGGTGGGTCGGTAACCCGAGGACACAAATTTAAAATAGTTGTTAAAAGAAATAGAGGGGAGGTGAGGAGAATTTTTTTCATACAGCGAGTTGTTCGGATCTGGACTGCATTGCCTGAAAGGGTGGTGGAAGCCAATTCGATAACAGCTTTTGAGAGAAAAGTAGATAATTATTTGGGGAGGACAAGTTTGCAGGGCTATGGGAAGAGAGCAGGGGAGTGGGTTTGATTTGGATAGCTCTTCAATGAGCTGGCACAGACACGATCGGCCAAATGGCCTCCTTTGCTGTATAATTCTATGATTCTATGAATACCAATATGTGCTTATTTTTACTGTATAAAAATGTGATCTTTTTAAAGACAGGAATGGGCATTCACAAAATGAGAGCGCCAACATTCACAATGACAGTATCTGTGTGCCTTTTATTATCTTGCTTTCCTGTAGATGTTTTAAATAAATCAACATTTAAAAAGCTTATAGATATTAAAACAAGCCATATAATCAGCTGATGACATTTAGCAGCTTTTGTGAAGAAACCAGAAGCCTTTGGCAATAACCGAAGAGATGATCATCTACTAATTTGCGTGAAATGAATCGAGAAATGTGAAAGTCTTATCGTTGAATGTTTGTTCCCATGTGTCATTAGCACTAATTAAATGTTAATGTGTGCTTGTCAGGCAACAAATAATCTCTGTACTGATTAAATTTGTGGACATAGCCAATTGAGTATGACCTCTATCTTCACAAGGAAATGTTAGACTTCATACAGACACTCACCTCCCAATGATTACATCCACATAGATGTGACCATCTTGAAAACAACAATTGCTTCAAAGAGCACTGTTGCTCCTGTAAAAAAAAGTTGTTGGGTAAGTGTTTTGTTCACGTTGCCATACATGTTTGGGTAATTTCAATTGGGAATAAGTCTTTAGAAACAATTGGGAGACTCATCCGGTTTTAGAGCCATAATGAGGATTAGCTGGGGCTCTTGAACAGCCTTAAAAAGAGACATATCTTTGTCGGAGATTGCAGTTAAAGATCTATCTCTAAAACATGTCCTTAATGAAAACATTGGATCTGAATACTTTGTTTCCCTGACTTTAGGAGATTTCTCCGTCCAGAACTTTCACTATTATGAATCACTGCTGAATTACAATACTGTACAAAATGCATAGCTGGCTGAGCACCCATGCTGAAAGTGGGAGCCACGAGGGGTGGAAGGGGAAATATGATCGAAAGCATGGTTAAAGGAGCAGGTCTTGATGCTTGACCGAGGTGATGGAAGGACTGGGATGTAGTTGCAGAGAATGGGGCATAAAGGCTGAAAGCCCACTCAGTGATGGGGCGGATAAGGGGGAACATGAAGCAGGCTGGTGCTTGCTGAACAAAGGGAGTGCCCGGGTCAGTAGGGTCACAGAGGTAATGTGGGGCAAGACTGAGGATCTTGTTCTCGATCCACTGAGGGATGGAGAACCAATGAAGCTCTTGAAAGGTGTTTGGATGCGATTAGATGGTCTAAAAAAAGTTTTGTCTTTTTTGAAGTGCAATTGAGAAGAAGGCAATTTAGTTACTGTATGCCATCCAGGAATTAATATTAACCTATTTACTACTTCAGTCAACCAGGATAAATACCAGAAATAAATTGTGTTATACATAAAACAAACCCAATCGATATAATAAATATTCTGCATTTTTTCAATTTTCTTTTAAGTCCAAGAGCAGGTGTGAAGCTAAATTGAAATACGGCAGCTCAATTTTACCCAGATCAGCTTGCAATGGATGCAGAATAAGACCTTGGACAGTCAATGTCAAACTATTTGAGACATTCTCCTGGCGTGAAAGACGCCACATAAGTATAAATTGTATTAAAATGATGTCCTGTCTACTTATTTTGAATATGTTCATTAAAGAGCACACAGTACTATTTCAAACATATCGTTTATTTCATGTCACAAAATATACAGCCAATTCACTTTACAGTATATTCTGTAAAGTGCTTTGAGAATCTCAAAAATGTGATAAGGTGCTATATCAAATGCAAGGATTATTATTATGATATTATTATTATGTCTGTTTGTGAATCCTTGCCCTTGTGCAAAAATAGCTGAAGTGTTTGCCTATCAATACATTCACTCGGATGACTTGGCAGTAAGTACATGTCAAACCCTTTGAGCCATTTTGATATTATTGGTGCAAGGATTACTGTCATGTTTACAGGGTGTTGGTGGATCTGTAAAATGTTCAGGTGCAGTAGAAAGAGAAAAAAAATGCATTTTTATAGCACTGCATCACGCCAAACCGTCTCAAAGCCTTTTACAGTAATTATCGTCAATTTTCACTTTTTTATGCAAATAATGTAAAGCAATAATTATTATTCGTTGAGTCACAGATTTAAGGCTTTTTAACAATAGAAAAGTGAAATTTTATGAGATCATTATTCAGATATGTCTGGCCATCTATTCCGAGGAAAGTCATTGTAAATCAGTTGCATTCTTTGAAACCTGAACACTCGTTTTCCGCAGTGACACTATTGAGTGATTCATTCAGCCAAGCAAGCACCTGCTGATAAGAGGATTTACAGCAAACATATTAACAGCCGTGACAAATGGAATGAATCATACACAGGGATGAAAAGAACAAGACATGCAGCAATATTGAACTACATTTTAAGCCTGGACTTTTT